TATAGTTAAATGAATTTTCTTTCTTAATTCATTGCTGAGATTAACTCAAAATTTTTCTTTTGTTATCATGCCTCTACTGGTTTGAGTCTCAAAGTTATATTAGCATCAAACTGTATTAGAAAGTGGTGACTTTTCTGTGCTTCCTAGAAACCTTTGCACAAAGTTGGAATTACCTGTTCTTTCAGTGCTCTACAAAACTCAAGCCTCACACATCTGTGGTGTTCTCTTTGCAGGAAGCATTGTAAGTCACAGTCCCACATCTCTTACAAGTGCACATTCACTCCCATTTTCTGAATCTCCAAGTCTGATTCTGAAATCTATATATCTTTCCTATGCAATTTCCCATCTCATCTAAGCAAAATTGTGTAAAACTTGTAATTTTACTTATATCTATAGCTCTCTGACCCACTAAATTAATCACAGATCCCATTTTTCTATGAACTCATTTTAATGTTTTTTTAAAAAAGGAAACATTGTTTTAAACACAGGGACTACAAACAGTGTGACTAGAATCAAATGGGTTTCTATGTGATTAGTCAGGACAGGGATAGTAGTTTCTTGAATTCACCATGGCAACATTACAGTCATCACTGATAGGACATGAACAAACATGCACAGCTGTATGTCAATAAAACTTTACAAAACTAGATGGTGAATGGATTTGGCCCACTGGCTGGACCACTGCACTAAGGGGTTATAAATTACCTATATACTGCACTGCTCAGTATGAAAGCCAGCCACTGCTCAGCATATGAAAGACACATGGAACTACTGAAACTGAGATCTCTTGAAATTGATAGTTCCTCATGAAACCTAGTCATGTTTCTAGTGATTAATAACCATATATGGTTAGAAGCTATTGTATGGTCAGCACAGAGGCACATATCTGAAAACCCAGCACTCAGGTGAGGAGGATCATGAGTTTGGGCCTGCCTTAGCTAAACAGCAAGTTCCTGCCTGGCCAGTTCATTGACTATACAGTGGGATCCTCCCTCATTAAAAAAAAGGTCGGGGGGGGGGGCTGGAGAGAAAGACACATGTGCAAACATGTAAGCGTTAGTTGCATTAAAAATGTAGGAAACATATTTTAAAATGGAATGGAGATCTTCTTTAAAGGTTAAAAACTCATTCAATTTTATGTCTTACAGGGTTTTATACTGAGTTCAATATTGTATAACTGTATTAATTCAACTGTGAACCTAAAAATTTACAGCCACTTTTGAAAGAGATGTATCCTTGCTCTGGAAATTGTTACTGAATATGGTAAAGCTATAATGAAATGTTTCTTCTAATCATGTGGTTATGAAATTTTAAAAAAAGCAAAAAAAAAAGAACACTGACTGTTCTTGCAGAAGACCCAGGTTCAAATCCCAGCACCCACATAGCAACTAACAACTGTCCATTTGGAAGAAGCCAGGGTGATCTGTGTCCCTATTCCCTACTGGCAATTTGGGTAACCCCTTCAGAGGATGGTCCAAGAATTCCGATGGCCTCTTCTGTCCTCCGCAGGCATTGCACTGCACGACACAGGTGCACTTACTACATACAGGCATAACACTCATACACATAAAATAAAAATAATAAGTAATAAGTAAAACATTTTTATAAAAAGAAGAAAGAAGGGAGAGACGAGGAAGGGAAAGAAGGAGGGAAAGGCAAAGGGAGGGAGGGAGGACAGGCAGCATCAAGACATTTTTGTGTTTCACTATCTCTATTGAAAATGTATGGCTTTTTCTTTAATGAATATGATCAGTTAGACTAAAATACCTTCCAACAGGTAAATAATTTAAATTTAAGTAGAGCAGCTATGCCAGCCAGCTGGATGAAGGAGTCTGTGGAACTTTTCAATTGAAGTTCAACGGAGTTAAGCTCTAAATGATCTAGTCATGTTCTGTCTTAAGACAGCTCTGGCTCTTATCTGCCAAGAATTTCTCCTCCAACATGTTATTAAATCATACAATTTAAATTCTCCCCATATTCAGAGATTTCTTAAAAAATATTCAAGCAAGCTGAGTGAGCAGCCACGGCTGACCTAGCACCACACATCACAGGGAGCAAGGGAGAGGAGGCAGGCACCACACCAGTGCCTCCAGTCACTTTCACCACAGTACCTTCAACTTCAGAACACATGAAACATGCTTTCCATTCAGAGGATTTTTGACAGGTCATTTTATGTCTTAATGAGGAGCACTGAGATGTTTGCTTGTAAAACACTGCGTGATGGTCAGCTCAAAATCTGAAGGTTATCTATCCTACCAAACACCATACCTTTGTGACAAGAACATTAAAATCATCTCTTCTAGCTAACTGGAGTTGTGCATTCATTACAATTCCATTGTCTGGCATCACTCTCCTGGGTGAGGGCACAGCAGCACTTCATCCTCCTCCCTGCCTGTGACTCCACACTGTCAACCAAGCTCCTCAGTAGCATTCCTCTCCTTCCCACACATCTCCTCTCCCCTTTAATGAGTTTAGCTGCTTTAGATGCCACAAGTGCGACCATGCAGTATTAACATTTCTAACATTTATATTTCCCATATAAAGCTGTAATAAGCTCCTTTCATTTACCAACAAATCTACAGTTAAAGTTGGCAGAACTTACCTGGAGGGCAAGAAATGAACAAACGTATAAATACAAATGGAAACACACAGTAGACTATTACTCTGCCATAAAAAAGGAAGGAAGCTATGCCATCTGCCCCAATATTGGTGAGCCTTGTGGACATTAGTGAAATCAATGATAAAAATGATAAAAATACTAACAGTTCACTAACATGAAGTCAAACAATGTTAAATTAGTTCACAGAGCTAGACATGGAATATGGATTTCATGGCTTACAGATAGGGTGGGGATGAGATGAGATGATTGTGTGTGTGTGTGTGTGTGTGTGTGTGTGTGTGTGTGTGTGTGAACAGTGAGCCATTATCCAAAGAAAGGATATTTTTTATATGTATACATATTTGTATATGTATCTATTGTATGTATTGAGGAGGTTGGTTTGGAGGTTGGGTTTGGTTTTGAGGCAGGGTTGTAAGCACATGTGGGCATGGATATGCATGCCCATATATATACATATGCAGATACTAGATGTTCTGCTCTATCACGCTCTGACTTACTCCCTTGGGAACGGTCTCTCATTGAACCTGAAGTTAGGATTGTGGTCAGTAAGCTGCAGTAATCCTCCTGCGTCTACACCCCTGCCCCACAGAACTGGGGTTACAGGTACATGTGGCCACACTTGGTTTTTTACATGGGTGCTGGAAACTTGTTGGACTCGGGTCCTCATGCTTGCACACCAAGATCTCTTACCCACCAAGCCATCTTAGATGTTATTTAATGGGCACAGAATTTTAGTCTAGGATAATAAAAGGAGTTCTGAAAATGGATGATGATGATGATATGCAATATCATGAATATAATGGTTATGGGTTCTTTCATAATCTGCACACACAGAATTTCCAATGGTTAAAAATAAAGACAAGTGTGATAGAGAGTGCTGGGGAAATTAAATCGAAGGAGGGTATACTAATTACTTCTTATTGTCAACTGGACACAAACAAGAGTCACTTGGGAAGAGGGAATGTCAGTTGAGGAATTTCTCCTATCAGACTGGCCTGTGGGTGTGTCTGTGGGTGTGTCCTCCATGGTTCCTGCTCTAAGCTCCTGCCTTGGCTTCCCTCAATGATGGACCTATAAGATGATATAAGCCCTTTCCTGCCCAGGTTGCTTTTGGCCATTGCATTTATCACAGCAACAGAAATCAAACTAGGAGAGAAGCTTCCTCCATACTCAAAGGATGTAAGAATGAGTCTAGGAGATGTGGCATCACCTGAGGGTCTGGGCTTCTTATGTACTGCTATGGTTTGGTTGTTGAATGCCCCACAAAGACCCACAGGCTCAAGGCTTGGTGGTATGGTTGGTAGGCAGTGGAACCTCTGAGAAGTGGAACCTAGTGGGAAGTGAGTCACTGGGAGCATGACTCTGAAAGGGATTATGGGACAATGCCATCACCCTCTGTCTTTTCTGGCTTCCTGTCATGAGGTGAGTGATGTCACTCCACCATGTATTCCCACCAATGTGGGAGTACAAACAATTTTACAGGTCACTGGCTACCCTTGAATCAGTCTCCATTCCCAGTCTCTTTGGGAGTTTTAAGCCAGGGTGAAGTGGGTACTTGCCTATTAAAATACTCAGAGACACACAGTATTTGATTCTCCATGAGCTGGTGGCATCTGATAGAGAAGTGCATGTGCCTCCTATTGCTACGTAAATCTAAAGGACTCCCAACACCTGAATATTAGCTATATTGTGGGTTTCTATGAGAAAGAGCATCCCCTGGAAACCTCCACTGGAGTTGGCCATTACTGGTTACATATAAATCACAGTAAATCCCATTACTTCACATAAAACTTCATCATTAACAAAGCCAAACCAGATCAAAATTGACCCATTTTAAATGTACAGCCCTAGGTGAGTGCAATATTATCATAAGGCAATAGTCTAAGCTTTCAATATTTTTATGTTCAAAGGTCTTAAACTTCATGATATCCATTCATAAAGACAAAATAAAAAGTTTCACAATTGTTTTTAACAAAAGCAAACTGATCATAGGAGACATTGTTTAACACAGCTATATCAGAAGCAATGTTTGAAAACCATCTTACATCCAAAGAATCCTCCTTCAACAAGATAAGGGCCATGTTCTGTGACACCAACCGGCAGGAATACCCTGGAGGAGAGAAGGGACAGCACGTGAGTGTCATTCTTCCTGTAAGTCCCTAAGTTTTCAATGGCTAGCTAATACAACTTCTCTTCCTTTTAAAGGTTTTTTTTAATTGATGTATTTGTGTGTATGTGTGTGTGTATACACACAGATGTATGCAGTACCCACACTGTGTGCATGTGTGTGAAAGCCAGAAAAGAGTGTCAGGTGTCCCCCTCTACCACTCTATTTCCTTGAGGCAAGTTCTCTCCCTGAACCTGGGGTCAGTGTCTTCTCAGCTACTCAGTGGTCCTCCTGTCTCACATCATGCTGGGGCACATGAGCAAACACCCAATTTACCACCTCCCTTCTTATATCTACCTACTGACAGAGGACTAAGGCAAGAGTGAGGGAACAGAACCCAAACTGACTTTGAATCTTGCAAGCAGCTTAAAGAGAACTGGTTTAGAAGGTCTTTGTAGCTAGTCTAAAATAAATACTTGCCAATTTTCTGTGAATTTTTTCTTTATCCTGGCTACCCTTGGATTAAGGCAAGCCTTGGATTATCTAAACTAACAGCAAACAGTTTGAGGAGTGAATGGAGTCTAACCCTGCTCCTAATTAGCATAAACATGCCTATTGGATGAACAAGATTCCCCAGTTCTTTTTAAAGGGGCCAGCAGGTTTCAAAGGAATACTATTGCACACCAAGGCAGTTATTCTCCTGCCAAAGACCAAAGTAAGCTCCACCGAAAAAACTGAATCTAAATTTACTTTTTAAAAATAAAGGTTTTTATTCCCAATTAGAAACAATCATTTAAATCTCATTTTAAATGAAATTATCTCAGGCCAGGTGTGGTAGTACACACCTTTAAGTCCAGCACTCGGGAGAGAGAGGCAGGCTGATCTCTGTGAGATGGTGAGATCAAGGCCAGCCTGGTCTACATAGTAAGTTCCAGGTCAGGTAGAGCGACAGGGAGACCTTGTCTCAAAAAAAAAATTTTGTAAGTTAAATTGTCTCTATATAAAAGAGATAATTTCTTCTTTTCTTCCTTGAAAGGAATCTATTTTATTACTTTTTAAAAAGTTATTTATTTTTATATGTATGAGTGTCTTGCTTACATGTATGTATATGTACTACATGTGTTCCTGGTACCAGATGAGGCTTGGATACCCTGGAACTGGAGTTACAGATGGTTGTGAGCCACCATGTGAGTGCTGGGAAACACACCCAGGTCCTCTGCAAGAGGAGCCAGTGCTAAGTCATTGCTCCAGCTTCTAAAAACATATTTTCTATGAAGCTTTTTCCTCCTTGGTAAGCCTCACAGAACAGCATCTGGCTCCTGCTCCTCAAACCACAGGCTGAGTAGAATAAAGGTATTCCAGCAACCTTCCACCCGGAAGACCCCTGGTGCCTGCCAGGGTTCCAGATTTACTTTCAAATCACCCAGAATCCTCTCAGGACGCTGGAGAAGAACAGCATCAGCGGACATGCCTTTCACCAGCCCACTTCCACTTATCTAACTGAGGAAAGGCAAGAAAGGAACACATCTACCTTGAACCTGGCCCTTCAGACTAGCATTAGGCTAGAGAGATGGCTCAGTGGTTAAAAGCTCTTTTTGCTCTTCCAGAGGACCTGAGTTCAGTTCCCAGCACCTGTGTCAGGCTGCTCCAGGGGATCCAATCCCCTCTTCCGACCTCTGTGAGCACCTGTACACATGTGGTGCACACACACACACACACACACACACACACATACACACAGAAACGCACACACACACACACAAACGCACACACACACGCACACACAAAAGCAAATCTTTAAAAACAAAAACAAAAAGCAAATGATTTTATTCTTAACATCTCAGGATAATACATCAATGACCGTAAATTGTAGATTGAATGTGAAATGTCCCCAACAGTCTCTTGCGTTTCAGCATGAGCTGGTGGCCCTGTTTCAGAAAGCTGTGGAGACTTCAGTGATTGGGGCCATGACTGGTTGAGGTGGGTCTCTTGGGGTGGGCTTTCAAGGTTGACCCACCCAGCTACCACCCATGGTCGATTTCCTGTCTGTGGCCACCAGGATATGATTAACGTCTGCAAGCTCATGTCACTACAGACCAACCCTTTCCAGATCCCCCACAGCAACCCCACCATGCCTTCCTTGCTGTGGGGGACTGTTCTCTGGGAACTGTGAGGCAAAGTAAAACTCTCCTCCCTTAAGTTGCTTTGTCAGGTATTTTATCACAGCAAGGAAAAGAGTAAGTAATATGAAACACATGGACATGTAAAATTTCAAACTTCAAGCAAGTACACGACAAACTCAGAGAAAAGGTTTTACCAATGGGCTCCTAAGAGGAACCAGGACTCTTCCTGCAGAGCATTTGAAAGGCCTTTCTCACAAGTGCTCCACCCTATCAGAAAAAGGGAGAAGGGCACAGAAAGAACTCGAAGGCAGGAAGCTTAGCTCTGCATGTGTGTGTCCATCCCACTCTGCTGCAACTCTGGGAAATCCAGTGAAAAGCACAGAGAACTCATGACAGAGAAAGCAAGACCAAAAAGCCTTTGTGGATAAATATTTTCACTTGTTTATTGGAAACTATGGAGTCTGACCTTCATTCGTGATTGTCATTTGAAAGAAATACTTGGCAAAACATCTCAGAAGGCAAATTATAAAGAAGAAAAGTATGGCTTTTAATTCAAATACTGTTTACAGACACTATATCCAAAGAGATATCACCCAAGCTGCTTAGCAATAGTTCTGTCAAGAGAATGAGATGATTCCTCATGTTAAAACTACTAGGTCTTCAAAGCAAAAGAAATAGCATAATTTAAAATCACAATGCCACATGGACAAATATCTGTTAGATTTCCTTTAAATTTTTTAAAAAGAGGAAGGAGGGCCGGGCGTGGTGGCGCACGCCTTTAATCCCAGGACTTCGGAGGCACACGCAGGTGGATCTCTGTGCGTTCAAGGCCAGCCCGGTCTACATAGTGAGTTCCAGGACAGCTGGGGCTACAAGGAGATCCTGTCTCAAAAAAGACAAAAAAAAAAAAAAAAAAGAGGAAGGAAATATGAAACAATTGTGTACTTTTGCAAATCCATTTTAACAGTGGTAGGCAGCACTGAGGTACTGAGATTCTTATTTTCCATTAACATTTTGCAAATGCCTTCTTTTCTCCCATAAGGTCCAGAAGGAAGGTTCACATTTGATTTTTACACACAAAGGGAGATATTTCACTAATCATTTTCCTCTCTGTTATACTAACTCTTCCTCCTTAGAGACCTCCCACAACTCCAGGGGGTGTAGACTGTTACAGTTTACTATAACTAATACAAAAAGATTTACTGGAAGTATTTTATTTGAACAACAGCTGCTGTAGCAAGCTGTAATTTTAAGCCTTGGATTTCTGCTTTATTTTATATTTTTCAATTTAAGCAAAATGCCATTTGACAACTGAAGGTACACAAAGACATTATGGAGAAAACCTTTAATGTATTTTTTTCTAACCATTGCAGGAAGAGGGCAGTAAATAAAACTACTGACACTTTCATAAATTTAAACACAGAAAACTAAAGCCTTCTGAGAAGAAACAGATTGAGTTGCTAGGTTTTTTTTTTAATTTGAAAAATGAATATGAGATTTTGCTCAGAGAATTATCACACTGACCACTTGCCCTTAGACAGACCACGGAAGTTTAAACCAGTTAACTATGACTTAACAGAGCAAATTGAATTATGCCAATCCAAGTTTGGTGTGCTTGATTTCTAATGTTTGGGAACAAAATGAGATCAACTCTTGGAAGAGTGCCAAACAGGGAAGTCAACCCACACTTGTAAACTGAGGTCTAGTTTTTTAATCTTGCAGTCTAACAAGCTAGCTGTAAAGTGACTGAGAGGCACACCTCTGGAGACTTGCTTTTTACTACAGCAGACATTAACAGCACACTACAAAAGTGCTTACTCTTTCCACTATGTGAGTATAATTAACCCTTAAAGAAATCAAACTATTACAGTCTATGAGGCTTAGAGAAGGACATGATTTTTAAGACAATAAAATAATACTAAAAAAATTATCAAATTAAATCTCCCAGTTCTCTCACCCAGTGCCTCCCTTCTGGAGGAAGGAAGGGAGAATTAATGTCATATTCCCAAATGCATCTAAATCAAGATTTCTATGAAGATATGTCTGAAATGTTAGGAGTAATTTATCCTTCTCAGTCATGTAATCTGGGATCACAGCAATACCAGAAAACTCATCACTGGAATTCAACATGCTGTCAGCACTGAAAAAGTATTGTGTTGCTGCTTCTCAATATTTTCAGAGTAAATCTGATTGATCAATACCTAAATGTGAATGTATGAAAGCCACTGGCAGGCACCATGAATGGATGATGCAAGGTGGTCTCACAGGCTACTCCAATAGGGACCAGAAGAGCTAAGTTAAGGCCCATCATCTACAGAGCCAAGGAAGCCTCATTCATGGGCACCTTCTCCTCAGACACTCAGTCCCTCCTCAGGAACCCTTGCCCATGGAAGAACATGCTAACTTGTCAGCTCCTCTCTACCTAGACACAGACCTGAACCATTCTATGCACTGTTATATTTGTTTGTTTGTTTTGTTTTAGAAATTCTTTAAGGCTCAAATGTTAAACCTGTCTCTGTTCTTTTGTAATTCACGTATTTTTCCTTCAGGAAAGTAGACACCACATGTCATGGTAAACGGCTCATATTTTAAGCATCCTCATAGATGCATAAATTAAGCTGATTTACCTCACTGCTTTGTACTTCAGTTTGATCTTTAAAACAAGTAATGGCCCCTCCAGGGAATTCATTCATAGTCTCATATAAAGGAGTTGGTATGGTACCTCATACATAATCAATAACGTTTACTAGTAGCTATCACAAAAGACAGCCATTCTTAGCATCTGTAGTATACAATTAGCATGTTGCCATCCACCCCATTCTCTAGTTTAAAGTCTTATCATCAACTCCTGCTCCAATTGGAGCAGGAAGTTCTACAAAC